TGATGTGGTCTGTTTGGAATTTGACACTCCTGGTTGCAGATACTTTATGTGGAAGAAAGGATGTCCCCATCCGAAAGATGATACTCAGTCGAAATGACTACGTCTGGTTTGGCTTGCCAAAAGGGGAACGCAGCTAGTGGTTCTTTTTTAGCCACCATAGTAGATGTTGATGGGCATTGTCTGAAACATGGACTGGCAAATCGATGGGTTCTGTCTTGGCTGGTAGTAGGAGAGCAGACGGATCTGGAGTGGTCTCATGTGGAAACTGCACCACTGTATTAGGTCCACCATGCTGGTCATTTAAGCTGAGGAGATGGCGCCAAGCGAAGGCGGTTGGTGACTGTGACAAACGGAAAAGAGAAATGCAGTTTTGAAGATGGATTACTCGGTCCACCATTGGCATGATTACACCCCTGCAGAGATCGAGTATTTCCCCCAGATATGTCGGAAGCTTGGATGGTATCAAATTTGACTTTTCTTGGTTGATAAGAAAGCTGAGATGGGAAGTGAGGTTGCAGGTGAAGCTGGTTGCGGTTAGGGCTTTGCCTTGAGATTGGCCCATGATCAATCAGTCGTCTAAGTACTGGAAAATTAAAACGTCTAGATGGCATAGATACATGTAAGCCGTGACGGTCTCAGCAATTCGTGTGAAGACTCTGGGTGAAGTTGATAGACTGATGGGCAGGGCCTGGAACTTGTATGCTCTCCCTTTGCATATGAATTGAAGTAACTTGCAATCCTGTTTGTGAATGGGTACTTAAAAATATGCGCAATGTCCCCAAAGGAAGGGGGGGGGCATGCAATGAATTCTCATGGCACTGGAAGGTCCGACTCGCCTGGGGAGTGATATGGGATGGGGCGTGGCATTGGCTTGATTGTTGAAGTGGCCAACGAAAAGGGCAATGCATCAAAAAAGTCTGGCTTGAAGTGGGCCTGACATGGCCAGAACTACACTGCTGAGGTTGCTGAGAAGACAAAGAAGGTGACTCACAGAGGAATATTTTTTTGGCCGTATCAGTCTGCTTAGCCTCCATCTCCAGCATGTCAACAAACATGCTGGCGAAAAGGTCTTCTCCAAAAAGCGGCAGTTGCTGAAGGTGAGATTTAATTCCCACTTGCATCAAGGGTGTTAGATCTTGTTGTTGAAGTTGCTCCGCAAGATATTTGAACAACCTGTTTGAATGTGTTATTTAGTCCTTCGTCAAGGCAACGAAGAGCTAGGGCTGCAAAATCTGAGGAGACCAGGGAGTTTTTCTAACAAACAAGGGTGATGTACTCTGATAAAAGGAGAAGGAAGGCCATACAGCGGAGCCCAAAGTGGGAAGCTTTCGAAGTAAGCCTTGTTGGGGAGGTCTGGGACCGACAAGAAATTCTTGGAATCTTCCATTGGAAAACGATAAAATGCCGTTGCTCGGCTGGGGAGAGCATGCCACTGCTTAGACTTGAAGATCTCTACGCGTGAATGATCAAGTGGGAGTTCAGGAAAAATGGGTCCAATAGACTCCATTTGAGCTGTATGGTATTTGAATGAGCCATGGTTAGTGTCCTCTTCCGGTGGAGCGGCTGATGGCAGGCCGAGCACCTCAATCATTTCCTGCTGAAGAAGACAGAGGCAGCCCTTGGATGGAGAGAGGGCTCTGATGGAATCAACTTCGTCCTCGGAGGAAAATGCGGATTGTGTGGTCAGAGACAGAGCCATACCCTGCTCCGAGCCACACATGCTCCGGCGTACAAGCTCGGTAGGCTCTGCGGAGCCCGAAGAAGAGTTGCTTGGTGGTGGGTATTGTGGCTTGGTGGTGCACCAGGCAAGGTGGGCCCCAACACTTGAGGGGAGCCGACCCAGTGACTTCTGTACCTAGGCAAAAGGGAGTATGCCCGGAGACCGCTGGAGAAGTAGTCTTCTTGGCTGACGTTGACTGGCTGGTGGAACACCGCGTGGATTCCTCTGGGCCATGGCGGTCGAAGATCCTAATGGTGTCCCTGCTTGGGTCTTCCACAGTTGGCCACGGAGCTTCCCCGTCAACTCCGTGGGGCCGAACGAACCAGGGGCCTGGCCAGATCCTGGCTGGAACCTCCTGGCTGACAGCAAGGCCTTTTCCTCCTCCTGGTAGCCGGAGAAGACAGGGGTGTATGAAAGATCCTGACAGCGACCCCCTGAATTCAACTGACTAAGGCCTATAATTTATCGCCAGGGTGGACATGGGTGTAGCTGGATTGAACCTCATAGTACTGACAGTAAACACCTGCCGCGTGCACATAAGAAAAACTGAAGAAAACACCAAAATATACACAACAGATTACTCTTACCAACATCTAGATAAAAATCGAACTAATACTTCATTCACAAAGGAAGGAAAGGTGATCAAATCGACACAGAACCGTGTAGCAAAAACAGAAACTCAAAAAAATCGAAGATGCCTCAAAAGACATGTCCGTATACATTACAGTAATGAGAAAAGGAGGACGATCATGGCAGCGAGGCCGCGTTGCATTGGGGGAGGTCGGGTGCACTACGCATGATCAAATCCTTTCAGCAAACAATAGGCGTCTGGGAAATTTGCATTAGTAGTGACTGTTTGGGTGGGTAGAGTGCAATAGACTGGACATACAAACCATACAAGTAACTTGTTAGCTTCTAAAATCATGTAGGAAAATTGCCTGAAAAAAGTATGAATGTACTGGCCTAGGTCAACTCGGTTTTCTGAGTGTGTTTTTTTTATATTTTATAACCTGAGCCAGGTTATTTGGCTAATCTCACAGCCGGGTGGGGTGGATTATGCTTGATTTTGTGAAACTTAACTTGGTATGCACATAAAACACTCCTTATCATTATGAATGTGAAATATGAAATTAAACATATGGTCATTTTGAACTTCAGGGCTACACGCGTGATAGCCCATGTGCCTTAAGCATCACAGTAGAAAAAAGGATATATTTTTGTCTGACCTGTCTCGGTAAAATGGGTACTGCGTATGAACAGTAGATTCAATTTTCACAGAAACGGTGTCAAAGTGACCACAAAGAATCACTCTGAAAACTTGTGCATATTGAAGGGGGGCAGATTCTGCCCCTGGCTCTTTTAGGGTTAACTGATCTTTCATAATTTATCGAAGGAATTGTTGAGTGTTCTTTTTGTCAGAAAACAGCATTATGTAAAATCTTGGCTGTTTTTTCCAGCTGTACATTGATTACTAACAGCAAGAATAATTGTTTGTTTGGTTTTTTTGATGGGCCAAGGGCACGTAGGCCTATATGTGGACAACATGGCTAATCCAATGAATACTTAATAATACATAAGACAAAGTCAAAACTGATAGTTAAGTGTGACAAATGCAAGACAGACCTTTTTTCAATTTAAATGTTTAGGACTTGGTCGCAGGCAATCTCTCAGATGAAAAATATTCAAATATGTAGGTCTATCAGTGCACTGTTGGAAAATGTTTTTAAATTACCCAAGTTCTGAAGGGCCTACAGGTATTTTAGCTGCGTCCAGAGAAAGTTGCTTGTATAATTTCCTCATATGTATGCAGCAACATAACAGTACATTTGTTAACCACCAACTGCATTTACTTGCTGTATATCCTTAAACATGCATATTTCTTTACAAACATTGTTCAAAATATCATTTTTGCGCCTAGTGCGGTTAGATATTGTGTCAAGTTAAAATTTATAGCAATATGTAAGTAAGTTTTATGTGCCCATCCCTATGTTTTATGCACAAAGGGTAGCTGTTTTGTTTTGAATTAATTTACATATTTCCCCAAGGTTGATTTTAGTTGAATTTCTTTGGTGATACTTTGCGCTGAATTAAATACATTGCCACCACAATTCTCACTGACCTATATGCCTGAAGCAGAGAGAAATTTGACCAGTGTATCATAACAGTAATGACTTAAGGAGCAGAGACACTGGTGGCGACAAAACACATGGAACAGATAACTTAAAACAATACAAAGAAGTATGGAATGGTGAATGTTGGCAATCACCAACAAGGACAGGACAACTTGTCAAAAGATGAGAGAGCGCACAAAAGTACAAGACATCACAGAACACATCAAGAGGAGATAATGGACGTTAGAAGGCATTAGGCCCACACAACAGATGGACAAAACTGTGCACAGAGTGAAATCCAAGGGAGACAAAGTAGAAAGACAAGATTTTTAAGTTACAGGCATTACATGGGTGAGAGCGGCACAGTATAGGACCAACTGGCACCAGCTTGAGCAGGTTTTTGCCTTGCAGTGAACAGACAATGGCTAACTAATCCAACCCAACCATTACACCAACCTTATCCAGTATTTCATCCACTTTCTACATACATGCACCTTGTCCCCGTCATTCTCCTCCTACAGGTATCCCCAACAAACATCCTAATCTGTCACTTGGAGTCCCTCCCCATCCCTCACCTTTTTGCCACATACTGTACATGTACATTTGTATGTGTCTACACACTGTCTATACATGTACATTACATGAGTGCTCAGTACATATGTATATATGTAGGTACATATAATCTACATGTACATGCATGTTCTACAGGGTAAGTACACAATACAACTCAAAACGTTAACATTCAACTCTTATAATTTTTTCATTAAATTCATAAGTTTCTAAGCATTAATGCCTTATAAGACTATTTATGATCGAATTCCAAAAAGAAGCAAACAAGCACTCAATGGAACACTTTAACATCTTATGTACCTGCAAGGAAATACTTTAACATTTGAAGACAGCCGGACGGATGGACAGAAGATGGAAATGGGTATTACATAGGCTCGCATTTGCTTCGCAGCTCGCTAAAAATGATGACCAGAAATAGTTTTATCTACATGTACGCTTTGGATAAATAACATTCATATGTTGAGACAGAGGTACCTGCTGTGCTGCCTTATGGTCCAGAAGGCACAAACACTTCAATGTCTCCTACAATTGGCTATGACAGTACATGGATGCGATGTCATGACATTCAACAGTGTCATGTTTGATCATCTGAAACTCACCAAAGTAGCTATCGAAAACAAACAGGGAGATGACATAAGCAGTCATGCTGAAGACCTCAGCTACCAGCATCATCCAGTGCCAGGTACGGATGGTTAAGGCTACCATCAATAGCTCTGTAATGACCAACGATGTGAAGGAGATAGCCACAATATGGATGAACTCTCCTTCAAAGAGATAGAGAGCACCATACATAATGATACCCCCTTGGAATATGCTGATCAGAACCCACAGGAAGAACATCTTGAAGGACAGCTCTCGACCCTATTAAAGTGAGGAATAAATATGCTTGTATTAGCCAAACACACATGTCCATTCTACTGGAGCTACAGTTGAGTCTTTAGCTAAATCCACAAAGTACATTAAAATGAAAATGATGTAGTGGACATCAAGATCTCAAAAGACACAATTGAATATGAGCATGAGCATACCAAAATATCTTGTCTACTTTGCAGGACTTACAAACTTGAATCCTTAATTGCAAATATGAGTAATTATGAGTTTTTCAGTCTGTATGTTTAAATAGCCTTTGTTCTATAGCTTGATTGCAACTGTACCATGCCATGCTATTCATAAAAACAACATTATAAAAGTAAATGGAGCATCATAAGAGAAAATCATAATACAGTGCTAGAAAAGGAAATTTTTTGATGCAATTATGGGTCATGGGTACACAAAGACAAAACACAGACCACTTCAGGCACCGTGGACCAAATGTCTGGACAACACACCAACAAACTGTTTAAAAATGTCCTGCGCAAATGAAAGTTGTGGTAGTTTCACTGGAAAAATAAAGCTCAAAGAGCATGCAAATCTTATGGACAACAGATACGAACATATATACAGTAAATAATAAATGGATGCATGTCAAATAGCTGCTGTAACGGGGTCAATGGATAAGAGTTATCACTCAACAAATTAACATAATTCAAATTTACATTTTATACACTGGAACAGTTACTCAATGGCACTCATGAAAGCCAAAGGTAAAAAACACTGCAGCTTTTTTTTTCTTTTTCTTCTTTCCAAAGTTCAGCCAAAAAAGCAATCTAAATCCGACTTTGCATATTAATGTGTACATATAGTAACATGCACAATTAAATGACACAATAACTTTTCCTCTCAACCCAAATAGCATGGTTGGTATTTTTACTATTGTTTTAATTGGAAAAAAAAAATTAAATGAGGTTTTAAGATTTAAATAAGATTTTATTCTTTTCTCTTTTTGGATTGAAAAGAAGTCAGCCTGATAAATGTATTCCAAGGCAACTAAATTCAACTGAATGTGTTCATTTTCTTTACCTGTTTCTTGTTACAAAATAAAAAAAATCAGTTATGATTTAGATTAAAGAGATTTAACTTTTAAGTTTACACATATTGTCAAAGCTCAGGTGAAACATGCGTAGCATAGCACATACATGTACTTGCAGTTTAGGCAGTTTCTTCATAGATATAGGTACCAGTGTAGAATTCTAATTGTACTACGTTTGTTTGTAATCCAACTTCTTGACGTTCAATCGTGTAATTACTCAGGTTTGATTTAAACTCTACTGGTTTTGGTTTCATTGCGTAATGACCAACATCTCTAATCGCAATAACTTGGAGATAAAAATTTTGATTAAATCAGTAGTCACATTTTATTGCATAGTTAGTACACAAACACTTTTAAACTTAAAAAAAAAGCTACTAGTAAGTTAATTCATGAATATCAATCATTTAATTCATGCATAAAGCACTTTGCGCCAGGGAGACGTTGGCGATGTATGCATGGCCATGGTGCCCGAAATCGGAACAAAGGAACTGGGCCTTGTAACAAAAGACCAAATTCGGACAAAAGACTGAGCTGCTGGGAAATGCCAATCAATTTTCATATGCTGTCAGCACAGAGAGCTGGCATAAGCGGAGGTAATCAGTCATTGTATTGAAACAGTATACCACTGTTTGCGGCATTCAGCACCTGCGGGGACTCCGGCAGGTCTACTACAAAGTTTTCGTGTTTCATTATTTTACTACGGGCAGACGCCATCGAACTTTTGCATTCTGTTCGAGTTGTTATGTAATAGCTTCTGCACCATGCTGTTCCTTTTAGCACACCCTGTGGTTTCTTTAATTTGTGGAATTCACAGTAACATGTCTTTTGTATCCAGTGGTTATGGTAATGCACTGTTTCTATTTGCCGTTATAGTTTGTTGGTACCTTTTTGTGGTTGTAATGGAAGGTATGTAATGTTCAGGTGTAGATACTTTTCGGGGTTGGTATAAATTGATTGTGTGGAGTGTAGAGTGAGAGAGAACCATTTTGAGCATTGAGAGTCGTCATATGTCAGTGTGACCAAAGTCTTTGGGACACTGTCACCCTAGCCACCAGGTGACTGGAAGCAGCCATAGCAGGCAAGAGGCCGGCCATATGCAAGTTGTCGAGGCCATGAGCCACCGCATTAGGGGTTAATTCAGGGTACAGTTGTACTGAACTCCTTTGTTTTATGACGCTCTCCTCGTCTGACCAGACATCAAGAGCAGTTGGTCAATTGTCCGACTCCACGATTTCCCTGAATTACCGGAAGTTTCATTTTGTCATGTTTAAAGCAATTAAAGCAATTATTTTGAAGCCTTATGTGATTGTGTTACTTTACTTGAATTTTGAAGATAATGTAAATGTTTGTGCTTATTTATTTTCAGGAAACCTTCCATGGTATATGCCCAATGGAATAGAGATTTGTAGTTTTCCGGGTTTCTTTTAAATCTAATAGATAACCATTTTACCCCAGAGTGGTAATGCAACACCTCACCCCATGAGACCGCACCAGAAATGTCGGCAGGGACATGGCAACACCGAGCGGTGACGATCCACTGCTGCCAAGGGCCCAGTACAAGGTCATCGTCACCCTTTCCATGGGGAAGTTTGTACTCCTTGCCCATCACAGCTAACTCAAAGTATAATTTGCTTTTAAGTTTTACTTTGCTTATTTTGTGGCCGACTTTGCTTTCCTTATTTGAATTTGAGGCCTGAACACAACCAAAGTGCTTGCTTAATGAACTGGTTTCTTTGGCATTCTGTTGAGCTCATGCAAAGCTGGTTTTTTTGTTTGATATAATTTGCTTGCACTTGCAGAAGTTCGTTTTATGCCATAAAAATGTCTTTTAATGATTACTTGTTTACTTTCGCTTAGTTTGATGTTTAGTTTGGTTTAATTTGGGAACAACCAAACACTGCGTTGTGTTTAACGTGCTTTGCATATGGATGCTTGAGCTGATTTGATTTTGCTACTCTAAGATCTATAATTTAATTTGATTACTTTGTAAATACTTGTAAATACTTAATTTCATTTGGGCAGTTAACGTTCTTGATGTGGATTATATGTACATGTATACAACACCTACATGTACAACTTTACTTGCCTTCATCAAAGCTCACACTGACATGACTTACTTCTGAATACATGCAAATCACATGTTTGTCCATACATGACACATGTGGAATGGCTTTGGGCCCTAATTATACCCTTATTAGGATGTGTATGTCCAAATAGTCAAATTTATGCCAATTAATAAAAAACAAAAGTGAAGCCTATTTGGTACTTTTACAAAATGTTGGGGCCTCATTTCCATGTATGCAAATGAGGTGGTAGTGGTTTCTGTACAGTGTAAAAGCATTGCATTGCCAGCAATGCATTGTTCTGACAGTATCGGACGTACACATCTGATTTCACAATTTTTGAGTATTTGAAAAAATCATTGGGGGAGTTAAGCTGATGTCTAGAAAGAAAGAACTCATTGTGCTTTGTATTGTAAGTTTGGCAGACTTTTGCTAAAGGGTGCACCGAGGGGATAAAAAAACTGTCATTTTGGTGTCAGACATACATAAGAAAAGTAAGTGTTATAAAATAAGACATTACATAGAATTTCAAAAGGAAAATGAAAATTCATTTCTCTCATTGTTTACTTATTGGGGCACTCTTCAAACTGTAACAAAACTGGAACAAAAAATTATTATCAGGCTAAAAAACTGAAAATCTTTCAGAGAGGAAATATTTCCCCAATTTCTCGGGATTTAAAACCAATTTTTCAGTGTCATATAAAAGCCAAATTCTTGAATGTGGTTAGAAATGAAGTATGTTTCATGAAAGTATACACTATAAGCTTCAAAATAATATATAATTTGTCACATTTGGACCAGTTTGAAATTTTGGCCCAGAGGTTGATGTTTCCGTGGAACTGCCCATTTCTTTGATAAATTTATATTTGCATTCTTGAGTTCAAAGAGGTTCTTCCCTGCTTGCTTTATTGAGGTCAAGACAGAACTAATTTGGGTATTTTGGGTACTTGTGGGGAATTACTTGACACCTCCAGCAATGAGAGATACAATACTTCTACAAACTGATCTGGCTGCATTTGTAAAGACACCACTGCCATTCAGCAATGCACACTATGAATCTCAACACTGTGAAAATGTAGTTTACACTTAATTTACAGTGCAACTTTCTTACATGGCAAAATAAGCCCCTATTCACGGTGCAAATTGAGCCTGCTTGGCAGGGGACTAGTTCACAGTGTTTTTACATGAGCTTCCAGGAGGCGAGGCACTCTATTGTTATTCATAACGGTTTGGCTGATTCAGCTTCCTACCCACGGAAGTGCTAACCACAGATTAACAGTCGAATTGATGGCGGGATTAGTGTGACTGACGGGCTCGTCAAATTCTGTAAAAATCAACGCATATAAACCGCAGCATCGCAGGCCGTCGCCGGCCTGGCCCACCAGGGCAGTAGATGTTTTTGCGACCACACAGAGTGCAGACACGTACACCCACACTATCCATGCAGTGTGATCACGAGCACATGCTCACCATGGTGAGCAGCTCCTTCGTGGCTTTCCTGGGGTAATTATTTTCGTCCTTTTTATTTAATCTCGTGGTGTAGTTTGGGACACAATAATTAACACTGTGATACTACATGCAGAATTTTGTTACCTAAATTTCTCTTCCTACCGTTAAATAAAATCAGCCACTTAAATTTTACATGTGTCTTCATTTAGCAAATCCAGTCTTTTTTGCTGATTGCGTTCACGGCGTGATGTATCGGATCTTTTTCAGTTGGGTTTTTTAATGGCATGTCACTGCACTTTCTGTGGTCACATGGCTATTGGGAAAATCAGTGATTAGACTGTCAATGAATGAATGCAGTAGCAGTCAGGATGTTGCGGTGGATGTAGATACGGTTTGTGTGCCGCACGCGATGTCCATATCACACAGCTGTAAGCCGCAGCCGCCAGCATAGATCGGTGCGTCATTTCATACCGTAGCCAAGTGATTCGGACATGGCCAAAATTTTGCACATATGTAATATGTAGTATATGTACTGTATATGTGTCACTGTGATTCATTGAATGCGCACAGAAATTTTTGCTTAATTTTACATGCGCTGCCACTGCTTGAAAAAGTTCTCAGGATCTTGAAAAACAGAGACTCAACTTTATGTGAAATGTTGTAAGCACCCATCGGATCAAATACTGGACCACAAAGGTCCCATAATTCAAGTTTACAAAAATTAGGAGGAAAAATGATGCTTTGGTCCACTTGGTCCTTTCCAACCAAAGACGTTTTCAAACAATGTACACGTGAAACACCACTGCACTTAATTCATGTGGTTTCTTTCATTAATATGCGTGAACATTACACTGGAACATTAGTGTACGTTGGTGTTTGATAAACAAAACCGCCCATTCTTGAAAGCTGCAAATCTCGGCGAAATATTTCAGTATTTTCCGAATTAACAAGGTCTTGAATGCCATTTTATTTCTTCCAAGTGATTTGTCAGGCTGTACCGCTGCCAGGGCTGATACTTGTGATAGGAATATGTTGTGACCGACTGGCCAGGGACTATTGAAATTTGCTGAAACAATTATATCTGACAAGATACAAGTCACAATTGCATACCGCAATGGGGGATCGCTGTTCATGACAACAGCATTCGCTGGAGATAGTGTTTGAGAAAACTTTGGGGAAAATAACGCAACGTACGTGGAAAGTTTCCTGCTCCCTTTATCCCCTCAGGCCACCGCAGACCTGAGATAGGAGCCTTTCAATCAAAATTTAATCAAAGACATGAAAAGCAAAATGAAAGCACCGGCGCGGGGAAGGAATGTACAAGCGTGAACTGCCGGGACTATAAAAGTGTAAGTGCATGTACTGACAAACTAGGCGTACTTGAATGACACGTACGTACACGTGCTGTGGTTGAGTGCATCTCCATGTAGGGCACCCTAAAATCAATCTTACAAAATGCACAAGAACGGGCCCAAGTTTTGTTTTTGGACTCAAAGATTTATTGGTAATTTAAGAATTTGATGTTTTGGATCATTTCTAACAATGCTGCATAACAGGTCCAGCACCACACGGTTCTTCCATCCTTGTGATCACATGATCTTGTCTTCAGCGCAATCCGCTGCATGATCCATCCAGTAGTTGGCTTTTAACTGGTTCTGGGTAGGTTATTGGTACATTTCCGGTGATGAGTACCAGTATACTATGCCGTTATTGCATGTGATTAAAGCAATGAAGGGAAACGTGGTCAAAAGGTTGTGCGTGCAAGCGGCCGTATCTCATGTAATGTCGTTCATGTCATTTTTTTCGTAACGTCGGGGGTATTAATTATAATGCCGATACCGAGCAGCAACTGGCAAGAAAAAACTGAGGTTTATATTTTAATACCATTTTCCAAGAACTTTCTAAGCATTGTTAGGCTTTCTGACACGGTTATGTTGGAAGTGCTGAATATGATGGACTTTTTTGATGCGGGACCGAAATTTCATGAAAACCTTTAGCAGCCCTACGGTCGTTACGCCCAAGATGATACAGTGCTGCCATAGCTCTTGCCTAGATCTAACTCATTGGAGTTTAATTAACCCTAACCCTCCTCAATCCTTCACCTGTTGAAGGACTGAGGAGGGTTAGGGTTAATGAGTATCCACTTCATAAGAAACTTTAGACTCATTGAAATCTCCACTTAGCCACACAATTAAGATTGACAGGTAAGCGTACACCTTTTATGAGGGATTAGGCCCATAAAACCTGGGAATTGATCAAAAGATTAAGGCTGGGCTTCTCGGGAGGCCTCACTGTGTTTTCACTATGTTTTTACTGAAGCCCAGCGCGTCCTCACCGGGTCACGCAGGGGATTATTTCACTGTCATTTCAACAGATAATCCGCCCTGACGTTGCTGTGAAAACAAATTTCACGGTAAATTCACTGCAAATTATATATTCACTCCAAATTCATGACGTTGGGATTCATGGTGGCATTGGGCCAAGTTCGGGAACAAAGGAAATTATGCAACACCAGTAAATGAAGATATGAATTTTGAAGAATTTTGAAAATGGAAAAATCATGAAAAATTGCCCGGCAACGCGTCCCGCATGTGCAAACTCTACCAGGCAGGAAGTGGTTAATTTGTGATGACAAGATTTCTATTGTTCAAGCCATTGTGACGGTGACCCTACACCTTTCAGCAACAAATGCAATAGGCGTCTGAAGACCCCTAAGCAGTTCTCAAATTATTGTACTGGCAAGATTCTGTCAGTTTCATCAACACACATGTTGGCATTACCTACCTAGTGAGGACATTCCTTTGTTTCTGTTAATTGAGAAAACTCGGTGAATACACTAATTATTTTGAACTGTAAATACAATATTGAGCTAGACGTTTGATGATTTCCTTGACTGTTCCTCTTCACTTTGCAACAAATAATCCTACTCTAAAAGGCTGCTAAACCTGTTTTCCTGAAAGGGGATAAACTCATGTGGACCAGCATTACCTGTATATGGAACTCTTTTGTTCAAGGGTCAAACCCCCCCCACTCCTGAATTGAAAGGACAAGCTGGAAAAATTATGCCCTTTGACTTCCTCAGTGGGGTATAACAAGAGTCTTAAATTGAACAAAAATATCCCTGCCAACCTCAATAACTAATCACATGATAAAGTGTAATGGGATGTGTAACATTGGTAAAGATTAAGACCAGAGGTAACTAAAAGGAGAGTCAAGTAGACTATTTAAAAGTAAAAAATTAAATGGTACATTATTGGAAAGAAAAACCTAATTTGCTTTAATCCCATATGGTGCATATCTGAAAAAAAGACGAACAAAACAAAAAAAACCACAAAGGAAAGTGAAACTTTCAATAACCATAATTACGTGACCTTTGAAGCCAGAGGATAGCTGAAGTTCCTTGTGTTGCCACATACAAGGAGCAGAAATTGCTCTGTCTCACCTTGATAAGATCTTTATACAGCTCTGGGTATCTCATGGCTGTTTCTGCAGTCACATCTTGATCAATAACCAACAAGAACACTGGGAACATTGTGTAAGCAGTCACATAGCTAATCAGAAAAAGTAAAATAAAAAACTTCAGAAATACTACAAGACTTGTAAGTTTCATAACTTTGCGTGATAGGATAATTGTTAATTTTGGACTGTATCATGCCATAAAGGATGCCAATAATTCCTCAATAAAAGCTTGAATATCAGGTGAGCAACCAGAACCAACATGTATGACCTTAGCAAACTGTACAGGTACTTTATCAAGTGTAACTACATGTAATCAGCCCTACATCAAAGTAGTTGTTCACAGGATGATGTTGAGAAGCTCATATCAGTAAAAACTATTAGGCTGAGAACCCAAACAAATGAACTGTGCTAGAAACATCAGCAATGCTGAAGTGGACGCATGGCGCTTGGCAGCATATAGACAGTCTATAGTATTACCACATATGGGCATGACCTTTCCTATACTGACAGAGCAATTCATGTCAAAATTCAATTTTGAATATCTCAAGTTGTCAACAACGAATATTAAATCCCATTGGTACCAACGTGTTTTAGAACTTCTAATTTTTGTTTGTAGTCAGGTTGTTTTGCACAGCCAACCAAGTTTTCGTAATTGAAATTTTTTTTGCTCCATATGCTGCAACATGTAAGAAAAGCACCCTGTAACATGGAAACACCCAGGCAACCCATTGCAGGCTGCTGGAACAAGCCTTATGATTGGTCAGATTGCGCAAGATTGTGATGTAATAGGCTGTCCAAATATGGTAATACTCCAGACTGAGAGTAGAGTCCCCTAACGTTGTGCACTAGTTTGATAATCACTTGACTTTCCCGACACAGTATTACCAAACCTCTTTCTTGAAAAACTTTAAACTCATTTGGTTATAAACTTGTATTACTACCTTCACGATACATGGTGTTGAACCTTTGAGGACAATTTCAGTGTCATGAAATTTGGTTTGAAATCCAAAACAATCAATATCCGGAAATTGGGCTTGAATTCAGCTCAGTGTTCCGTAATGTTACACACTTGAAAAAAATCTCCGAAAATCCTACATAAACATATACAAAAGCATTAAAGTTGATAAATTCTTGTAAAGCATCATTACTTCCACTCATATACATGTATCTATCTAAAAGTTTGTCCAAAAATTCTTTTTCTATTTTGGGCACAGTTTAAACAAGTTCATTTCGCATGTCAGAAAAAAAAATTGGAAAATCAGGCAAACTCTGAGGCAGGTACGTAAAATTTAGATTTAGGAATCAGAACATAAGAAGTTTGATGAAGTTCCATTAATTGTGAAATTTGAGCTGAAAATATTGCTCTGTTAAAACACACGAAGCGAAAAATGAAAGTGTGCTACATTAGGGCCAAGCCACAAAAGAGTACATTAATAATAGTTATTATTAATACAACAAAGTGACACACTGAATTTGTTCATTTTGAATATAAAAACAACAAACAAAGAATTTGGAGCAGAATCTAAGCTTGTGACCTCTAAAACATCTTGCCAGCACTCCACTTAACTAGGCAATATATTTTGAGTCTCTTCATACATGTATATTCACTTAAATAAGTGAAACTTACCCCACAGTCAACACACCCTGGTAGAGAGCAACTGATGAAAAGTAAAAGATGGAGGAGAATATAGCTTGCATGACTGATATGATGAGGCCACGATGCATGACAAAGTGACTCAGGGCACCAGATCGCTTGTAGCTATTCCTACCATGGACTAGTAACAAACGGCCAACATAGCGGAACTGAGTGAGTGAGAAGTCAGCCGCTAAGGAGGCTTGGCGTCCCTCCTGGAATGGTGAATAAATATTTGTGATAACATGGTGGGGGTGGTTATCTTCCCATAGACACACATCACATGGTCATTCCTTTTAATATTGCAGTCAGAAATCGGAACATCCTTTTTACTAGACCACAGCAAATCAAGCAGCCAGGCAAGAGAAGCTATATATGTACACAGAGGGATGTACGTGTAACAATCACAGACACATGCTGCATTTGAATCTGTTCAGTGTTGGCTAGAGCATCTGAATCTGTTGGCTAGAGCTACAATCCTGGACAGATCTCGTCGGAACATGCCTCCCCCTCGCCCGGTCAGTGTTGTTTCTCATTGGGTAAGTTGGACCGAATCTTGCTCCAATAATGACCACACTATTGAATGTGGGAGAGGGGGATCTTTTCAATGCGGTTCCCTTGTGGTGTGCCTACTATTTTGTCCAGGATTGTAGGTCTGCTATGAGTTAAACTTTTGCAGATCATCAGCACAATTTGACAATACATCACAAATTAACATCTGCATTCATTCCAAATAACAATGGGCCTTTATGCAATCAGTAAATCAAGAACAATTTACTGCAAACCAAGAAACAATTTAGCTAACATTTTACAACCATCTTATCTAAGAAAAATGTCAGTTGAAGTTCAACATTTATGTTATCTTTAATCTTCATTTTGAATCATCACCTGAAAATTTGACATCAAACAAAACTCAAGAGCTGAAGGTAACTGTGTAAAAAATTGTATTTTGACAACAAATAGAAATAAGATGAATACAGGGATTTAATGACTTATAGAGTTTATTATTTCACAAGAAACTACCCCAGGTACAGTACTCTTTCCGGCTGAAAGAACACACTTTTTTAAAAAGGCAAGATACCACAACCACAAATACTGAACCTTGGTAATCATGTGGTCAAGATTTGGGCAACTTTTCTTCCTGCATCTCTGCTTGTTTAAACCCCAAGAAAACCCCAATGAATACTATTTTCTACAATGCCTGCCTGTGACACACGGATGCACACACATGCTCAATCTCCCGGGACTAGTTGAAGCCTTTTGGGTTGGGTGGGTGTGTGGGGGGTGTACAGATATCACTTGGTACTGCATACAGAAATCCCTGAGTGTCAACAGATTTTCTGGCATGAACTGGTTAAGAAATGAAACTTGAAGCTTCAGTTCAGTAAATGTTTTGAAATGATACTTTTTCAGAAGGCACTTTTAATCCCACAGTGCAAGTTGGTGAAGTTTGAAATTCCAAGTGTAATTTGAAAACTGGTTAAATCCTGAAAAAGAAAAAATAATCACTCACCTTTCCTTCAAGGCCAACACCAGCATTAGCTGCCTGGATCATACTAACATCATTGCCTCCATCACCTGAGAACAAGCCCAAACAAAAAGTAAGGTGTCTACAAAACATTGATATCTCTGGAACAAAAAAGCATTTGGGCATTTTCATTTACTGTATCTTAGATGAAAAACCCATTTGCACTAGTCTGTAACTGACACTATGAAATTTAGATCAGTTGAAATAGGGTCAAATGTCGTTTCTCGGTTAAAAAGTATTCCACCCTGATTTTAACCCAATTTTAACTGCATAGATCAAGCTAAGATGTTCACCCCATTTAACCGTGCTTCAACCGAACCCACCAGCCTTTGTTAATCAAGCCTTAATTCTCTCCTGGTCCATCGACAGTCCAAACGGACATTCACTCAGTGGAGAGATGGTGTGCTACAAACCGCAGTGTCCCGTTGGGTAAATCCACTTTTTACCTAATAAAGGAGCAGTTTGGGGGAAATGTAAATCATCTTCCTTACGCTCCACAAGTTGGAAATTGGCTTCAATGTATTGACGTGTGGAGGTATTTCTGCACCTGTTTACACGATAAATTTGCTAATTTTTGACATATAAAGCAATAAATTGATCAAATAAAATGATACCTGTGTCTGGAGTAGTTTAGTTATAATAAACAACTGAAGTTTTAGTGGTATAGTTACCGTTCATTAGTCCTTAATGACAAGTAATTGGAAGTGACTGTTTTCTGCGTGCACAAAATCAATCATGCTAGCGCTAAAATTCATGATGGCGGCACAAAGGTCCAATGTTAACCATTCCTCAAGAGGGCAGAAGCTTTTACTGATTAAAACTCCCAAACTTTGTACTGCCGGCCCATAAGCCCCAACAAAACCTGGCAATCCAAACCATACCGAATCCGTGGGAGAATCTGGAATAATTCATCCCAGTTTTGAGGACGAAGTTACTCATTCCACAATTTCTCCAGCGGACAGCGTCACGGCTAATGGGCCGCCTGCTTGGTACGGCTGCAGCTCCCTTGTGCTGAATCGTGGGCTGGTCATGTCATGTGTGACTGCCACGTGACGCATGATATCGAAGGCAAGCTTTTCTGCATGTGCACGGGTCGGGTGGATAAAAAGGTGCACAGGGGATGACGCGGACATGAACCGATATTGCGGAGATCACCTCAACCGGCTTGCGTGGCCAGCCATCAGTATATTTTTAGTCAAGGAATTACTCATTCTCACCTTCTTCAAATTAAAGCTTACAATGCGCTTTTGATCTACAGTCTACGGCAAATTCCTGGTTAGAAATCTCTCAATCCCCGTCCCCAAGCTAAGAACATCCTTTTCATCCCCGTCTCAGCCAATAGCAAGAATGAAAAAGACGTCACATGCAAATTGGGCTGTACCTCTATGCGAATGGGTCAAAATATATTTTCCCCTGGAGTTGCCATCGTTCGAGCATGAGTCCGACTGCAATCAACATCCAATCAAAATATATTTTGAACGTCCATTTCTAACTTCATTGGCCAAGTATGGAACGTAAGAGTGTGCATCTGGGAGGTTTGCATGCATATTGTTTTTCTGAATATACATAAGCACAAATGTAGCGAGAATTTAGTATTGTAATGCAGCTGAAATGCCATACCTACATGTGCATTGTAACTTTACACAATAAATTCACTGATGTTTTACATATAAAGCAATGAATTGATTGCATAAAAATGATACCTGTGTCTTGAGTAGTTGATTTTGAATTCTCACCATCATATGATGCAGGGATGCAGGGCCATCTAAGTTTACTGTACAGTGTACATGTACGTGCACGTGTGCATTGCACAGTCCCGAGATAGCACTGGTATAACTTGTTATCCTGTTTCAGTTGTTTATTTTTTTCTCAATGTTTCTTGCAATTGCATGCATTTCGTTTGCTATCAATGCCATGCCATATCAAAGCTGAATATCCGAACCTAACAGTGCGGGTCAGTTCGGTTCGAAAGTGCCATGTTAGATGATTTTGGGTTCGGTTCTGCAGTTCGGCGGTTTGGCTGACGTAAGACCTTGTAGCAAAAATATCCACGACATGCGGGAGATCGGGCGCATTCATGAGGTTGCTAATTTACATAAGCTTGCATGTTGCGTTCCATCCGCGGATCTGCTGGGTCGTGAAGGGCTCGATTGTTCAGCAGGGATTTAAGATGCATTAAATAAAATGTCTGTATCCTGAAATACATGGGATGCATGATGCCTGAAACTAACACATTCAGGTACAGGATGGGCCTACGAAGAGCTGAGTACCAGCGTAAAGAACTCACTTGTATTAATCAGTGGTGATTAAAAGCTATTTAGTATACGGTTAGGGCGGGGCAGCCTATTAATGCAGTATGACCACCATGCACAAAGGAATTCACCTGGCCTTGGGGATTATACTCCACAAAAC